ATACATGTGATACGGTCACACTTCCGCTTTAACCCGAATCACCTCACATGATTCTACTCCGCTTTAGCCTACCCCTTTTTTTGGTAGTCCCCTCCTATATAATAAATAAAGTACAGTTAATATTTTATCTAATTTGTTTTACTATATATCGGAGGCACCTGTATTATGTGATCGTCGAGGAGGTGACAGTAGCTGTGGAGAAGGTGGCATTGGTAGTGGTGATTGTGGGAGAGATGACAATGGCAGTGGTGAGTGTGATGATAGTGTTTGTGATAATGTAAGAAATTAATTACCAATTTTCCATAAATAATTTTATTAGAATTTAGAAACATCAAAACATTGGCAATTTGTTTTGCAATATTTAATTTTGCGTTCCAATCCAGTCTTTGAAAATTTGATTTTAAATATTGACGAAGAGAACCATTATTAACATATTCAAGAATAATCATATAATTATTGGTATTCTCTATAAAAATCAAATAAATAAATGAATAATTGTTTATAATCATTTATAGAAATTTGAATATTTATATATTACCTTGCTTAGTAACGCCATAGAATCTAAGAACACCATCATGAATTTCCAATTTCGATGTCTTTTAACCTTTTTCAATTAAAAATTAAAAATAAAATTTTCAAATAATAGTATGTTGTGCCTCTGATGTCAACTGATCAGGGTTGGCTGAAGTTTTAAAGATCTACAAAGATATACATAGGCCAGTTCCATAATTCTGGTCAAAGGGTGACGCCTGAGACACCTCAGTTGACACCCGAGTCAAAGATGACATAGTTACAACATAAGAATAAAAAAAAGTTTAATTTTAACTTACTTCATCTATTAAATTGTCCTTCGTACATTTATCATTTTAAAGAAATGCATTTAAGAGCAACAGTTTTTTGAAAAGTTTTAAAAGTGGTAAAATCAATTAGTGGAAATGTTTATAAAACGTCCTCAAATTCAGAATATTGATATTTTCTTTTTGAAGAGTATCTTCAATAATCAAATTGTCCATCTTTTCGTTTGTCTTTTCTTGGGACATGATTAAATGTTGAATTACGTAAATTATACAATATTATATTGTACAGATAATTATTAATAACGAAGTAGAAAATTCATGTATCAGATTAGATAGTTTAATCAGAATAGATTATCAAAAAAATAAGTGTATATATTTATTAAATTTCATTAATAAATTATATAAATTTCATTGATCATATTTATTTTATTGAAAAAGTATTATTTACGATATGTTTCTAATATTCATTTATTATTACTTCCAATAAAAATAAAATCATCTTTCATATAATGGAAAAAAGTTTTAATAGTGATAAGAATAACAATTTGTATTTTAATGAGATTGATTCGAAAAAAATTATTTCATTTAAATTATTCATGTTATTTTTTCTATTGCATTCCACCCTTCGCTAAAAAAAAGCTTTATATTTATAGGATGAGTAAATATAATTAATTGTACGAATAAATTTCTCTTACTCAATATATTCGGGTAATATATAATAATTTACAAACAAAATTTTGACTCATCGTTCTTTTTTTTTTTTTAATTTCAATTATTCCTGTTATAAACTTTATTCTGGGCTTGAAACTTTTGATTTTTATCGAGGGTTTTATTAAATTATATTTAATTGACGACGACCCGTTACGATAATAATGAAACTGGCTGGATGAAACGATTTAAATTTACACATCATGCAGGTCATGTTTCTTTATTATTTGTTTGTTTAATTGCTGTTGCTAAATAACATAAAACTAATAATGTTTCTTTTTTTATGATTAAAGGGTTATTTGCACTAAAAATTGAATAAAATAAAATATTATGAATAAAAACTAATAATATTACATAATAATAAATATTTTTATTATTATTTCATCATTAAAGAAGATTCTCCTCTCCTACTCTGTTCACTTGTTTTCTATAACTTCTTTCATATTCTCCACCTCTCTTCATCTTCTCGTACTTCATATGATGATTAAATAAATTCACGAAAACAATTAAAAAAATTTTTTTTTTTGCTTCTTTCTGACATAAATAACATATCTTTTTTTTCATACCGAAAAATGTTTATCGTGATAAAAGAAGCACAATATCAACAAAAGTATAACCAAGAATTTCTCGATAATTATGTACCTCCGATATTGTACAAACGCCAAATTAAAATAAATTACTATATATAGTGATAATTCATATAATAAATTTTTATTTGGATACCTATCAGCTACTATTTTCATTAAAGAAAAATATTACCCAGGTCACACGGCGAGGACGTCCTTTTATGACTCAGAAAGAGAAAACTATTCTAAAAAAAAGTTGTTAAAATGAAATATTCACTATTAAATTCGAGGATATATTTTTATACCAAAATAATTTTATTGTTATATTTCAACCTTTTTCTTGATTTATGAATTTTTCCGTTTTAGTCTATTGTCTAGTTCAGAGATAGACCTAGACTCTAAGTTAACAATTCAGATATCAGTGTAAGATGAAAATTATAGACGGTTCGTTCTCTCTCTCGTTCCTGTATCTATATTATTATTCACCCTTAAGTGTGTTATATTTTTACTAACACACTAGCTCTGACCAAACAGAGAAAATGCGATCAAAAAACAGCCAATTGCCATTTCTAACCACGTTGCAGGCAACTAAAAGTTGTATCTCCTTGTGGTGAATATAAAACCCAAAGATCACTTAAAGGCCTGTTAGCTTTCTAAATTTTCTTGGAATCTGTGCTCTTATTAGTAATCTCACGAAGTCTTTTTGCAGCATCCATCTATCTGATGTTCGCCTTTCCTTACCTATTCTAAAAATGTCAGTCTAACTTTGGAGAGCCATAAATCTATCGTTAATTTGGAACCAATTTAATAAATCATGATATATTTTCTAAAATAATAAAAATAAAAAATATGAAATATTATGAATATATTAAGGAATAAATTATCAAATTAAGTTAATTTATAAGTTTTTCTAAATTTAAAAATTATTGATTAATTCATTCATAATAATTTCCTTTTCATCCAATAACCGATCATTTTATTAAAAATTCTTTAAATCAATTAATTAATTAAAATTATTAAAAATAAAATAATTAAGAATAAGAATTAATAAATTCAAAATAAATAAAATCATATATCCCATAAGAATATCACACCATACTCATCCCACATATAACTTTCCATATACTATGCATTTGTATACAGGATATCGCATTGAAAATGAAGTAATATATACACATTCCCAATAATAAGAAATATTAAATTAATCTTAATCAAATAATAAATATACAGTATATAATTGACCGAAATTCACAATTCTATTTTATCAATTGATATCTTTTCCCTCCTCTCCTCTTCCTCCTTCTTTATCAAATTAGTTAAGAAGATTATCATTGATATTATTATTCTCATCATTCTCACCAATAAATTCCTAAAGTTGCTAAATTTCGGTCATTATGAATATGATGAGTGGTGCAAACCATGTATCTCAAAACATTTCAAAAATGATTTTGATAAATGGACAAGCGGAAATGATGCAATAAATATGTAAACTTATTCAAGATTCTCAACTAAACACTGATTATAATGAAGTAATCGAATGGATACCTTATGGTGGATTTCAAGACATTAAACAAATAGCAAAAGGTGGTTATGGTACTATTTATTATGCTAAGTGGGTTGATGGACATATTACAAGATGTGATATTAAAATTCAACGATGGAAAAGATATGGTCAACTTGAAGTGGCGTTAAAAAGTTTGATTGTATTGTAGATGTAAATGAGAATTTTTTAAATGAGGTAAAGTAATATTTTAAATTTATTTGAAAATGAAAATATATAATATAATGATTATAATTTAATAATATGTTATTTAGATGGAAATTTTATTGAGAACAAATGGTGGAGAGTCATCAGCCTATCTTTACAGAATTACAAAAGATCCAGAAACTCATGAATATATGATGGTTTTAGCATATTATAAAGGTGGAAGTCTTAGAAATTATTTAAATAATAATTTTAATAATATCGATTGGGGAAATAAATTGGAACATTTAAAAGATTTAGCTGATAAATTTTCAAAAATTCATAGATTAGATATAATTCATCGTGATTTTCATCCCGGAAATATTTTAAAATATAGTGATCATAATGATGTATTTATTTCAGATTTTGGATTAAGTAAATTAATTACAGCAAACATAAAAATTCTTCAAATGAATACCATTTCTGGAGTATTACCATATATAGCTCCTGAAGTATTAATTGGAGGAGAATATACAAAAGCCGCTGATGTTTATTCATTTGCATTTGTTGCTTATGAAATCATCACTGTTATCACGATTTGTCACATGATAAAGATTTGGCTGTTAACATGTAATGGATTTCGACCAAAAATTACATTTCACACACCTAAATTAATTACACAAATAATTATGCGATGTTGGGATGCTTGAATTACACATCGACCCACCTTTGATGAATTATGGGAAGAGTTGGATCGATACTATTTTGATTATGATAATAATTATAGTGAAATCAAAATTCAAATTAAAGAAGCTGAAGAATTTTCCTAAAATCAAACAACTACAACTCTGATGAATTATATAACACATCCACAAGCAATTTATACCAGTAGACTTCTCAATTTTTCAAAGCTTCCGAAACCTAAAAATGAAGAAAATTTTGAAAAAAAACTTGACGAATTAACAAAATCTTTTTATCAAATAAATTCTAGTAAATATCAATTATATATTTAATTATTTTCATTTTCAATTTATAATTAATTTCTTTTTATTTTTTTTTAATTAGGAGATGATGATGACGATGATGATGATGGATACATCTAATTTATAAATTTTAGTCAATCATATATTTTTTTATTTATATTTTATGCATAAATTATTAGGCATTAGTTATTAATTTTTTTGATATTATAAAATCCTAACACTAAGTATAGAGTATATAATTAAGATTTTATATCAAATAAAATATGTCAATTTTTTTATATATACAAATGATGAGTTCTACATTAAGGTTCGTAAAATTAACTGAAATTCATAAGGAAGAATAATTAGTAAGGAGGAAATTTCGGATGCATGCTCATCAGAAATTATAGTTGATAAAGATTCCTTTGTACGAGTAGGAAATTCGGGTAATAAAATAGATCTAGCAGGTAATATAACTGATTTAATTGGTTGGCCGGGATCTAAGTTATACAGAACCAGTGTTGTTTATCAAGAATTTTCTTATTCTCCTTAAAATATCCTTGACAGAAATGTGAAAATATTTAATATATGGTATGCATTTCTGTAAAGTAGTTTTCAAAGTTAAAAAATTCTCTTTATTTCATTCTTCAAGGTTTGTGGGCAAAGTAGAATTCTGAGCAATATCAAAAATAAGATTAGGATACTTTGCTACAATAAAGTTTTTTTTTTTGTTGAAAATAGTATGGTGTACTAAAGAAAAATGTGCTCTTAACTAAGAAGCTTTACCTCAAGCCCTAGTTTTTTGGATAATTCCTCGAGTTCAAGTTCATTAGCTGCTAAAATTAAGTCAAAAATAACATATCAGCCAATTTAAAGAATTGACTACACTAATCTTCTAAGTTTATAAAATGTAATGTCTAGACAATACACTTTTAACTGCTAATTAAAGTAATTAAAGTTATTCTTTATTTATTTTTACAAGTATTTGCTTATTTTATTAGTAAAGAAGAAATACAATAAGTTTTTCCGAAGTTTGGAGTAATCAATAGAATTAGAGATGGGTTTTGTGATCAGGTGACAGATTGGACTTCTATTTAATAAGTTGTTTAGTTGAATAGTCTACAAAACAATGTATTGTAAAAAACATTATTGTATGTAAAATTTAGAGCTTTCTTCGAAATATATATTTCTACTCCAGCCAATCACAACGCGCAGATCTTTGTGATTGAATTGAGGGAACGATGCTGTCCGTTAAGGAACTAAAATTACAATTACATAACTTTCTAAAAACAACAAAAACTTCTTTCCTGTTGTCTTCGTCTTTATTTTAACAAAGAATATCTAAATATAAAAAAGTTAATGATAAGTTTAGAATAAAAAACAATAGCTGCCCTTTTTATAAAAAAATAATAATGATAATTTAATCAACTTAACGATACTATTAAAATAGAAAAAGGAGGTCACGTAAAATTTACTCCCGAAGATGCTATGCAAATTGCTGCATTAAAACATGGTCAATGCCTTTCAACAGAGTATGCTAATAATAAGATTCTAATGTTATGGAAATTCCATCGAGGCCATATTTGGAATACTCCATTTAAAAATATTTAATACTTTCATTAACTCTATGATATCATTACGATGGAGATGTGCGAAAAATCATGAATGGACCGCTTCACTTGTTCAAATTAAAAATAATGGATATGGTGGAAATGTATGTTATACAATTGAAGATGCTAGACAAGTGGCCCCTGATAAATATATTAATAATGACCCTAAGTTACAATAGCGGCGTTGTATTGAAGGTCATGAATGGCTTGCTTCTTTTGCTAATATTAAAAGTAGTGGATCATATGTTCTCATAGAAAACCTTACACTCTCAAATATGTCAAGCAGTACGCATTTAATAAAAACTTTCTGAAAAATATATTAACTCTTATACTACATTATAGTGGAAGTATATTAAAGGCCATAAATGGACTGCAATATAAAAAATGGAACATATTGATCTAAATATAAACGTGAAGAATTGTTTGTAAATTGTATCAATATATCATGGACCACCATCAGAAAATCGCTGGTCTGATTTCTTAAAAACATCAGAACATCCAATACATCAGGATTGCAACTTGATATTCCCTACTATAATTATGGTCTGGCTATAGAAATCCAAGGAGGTACAACACAAAAAGTATATCGAATTCTTTCATAGAGGACCCAAATAATTTCATCAAACAAGCACGGGATCAACTCAAGAAAGAATTATTGTTATTCCAAGAATTGAGTCTCATTGAATAAATTATAACTTTTAAATGTTCCATAATAGTTGATATGTATAGTATTTTTTTTGTACATTTAATAAGATATCGAATATTTTAAGAGCATTATTTTTTTTTATTATTTATGGCATATTTCACGCATACACGTTAAACTCGATATCACAAACTTAAAAACAATAATTGATCTGCATTAACCCGATGGTTTTTTTAATATTGTTCGTCATCGCGTTTTGGATAGTGCACCTGCTTCCACTTTTTTCGCCAATCAATTTTTAAACTTTTTAAGTATATTTAACATGATTTATATAATTTAAACAAGTACCAATTGTTCATTTCACAGAAGAAATTGACGAATTTTAGCTAATACTTCCAAAACTCCCACCTGGTCATGGCCATTTCTTCCAGGCCATCTTTTTACATTAACTGTTGTCTTATCCGGTAAACCACAACCAAGTTCGGACCAATATTCTACAGGGATCACGACTTTGTAAATGCACGCATCTTGAGATAATTCGCATAGAATACCTCATCATCAATGGCACGTATCTCTTCTGCGCAAGCAACAATCTGTACAGCAATTTGGGTTTCCCGAAACGACTTGTCACATAGACTTTTTTGTATGTTTGTCCTGTTAATAAGTTTTTTTGACATGAATATGGGCTTATTAGATAATAAGAACACTGACACTAAAAATCTGACTTCTATGACCACCATACTTAAGTTTCGATTAGCAATCACAAATTCGAGGTCTGCCTTTCTTCAATAACCAGTCTGCATATCAGATGATTTCTGGTTTTGAGAGATACAAACTTTTAGAAAAATTAAGCACCTCATAACAAGTGCTTTCCTATAGTTGCTTACATTAACTTCAAGGGCCAGTCATTCAAGTCAGGATACGAAGCAGATCGTCCACCAATGTGTCAGTTTTAGACTCCACTGTTCCTGTTGCCACTTTTTCAATCGTCACAACATCATGCATTTTATTAAGGAAAATTTTGACTTTTTTATTCGAAACTTTATATAGCTTGTCAACGTGAAAATCTAAGTTTGTGACATCACGGCGGCTGAAGATGTTCTTTCGGAACCGTGACTGTACGATATATCGTTTTAATCAAGGCAAAGACAAACAAACTACTATCCTTGGTGGTAGGGATAACATCCTCGAAAGAAGCTGGCTGGAAGTTCACTCTCAGCAGTTTAACTTCATCTTGTATGAACTCTAATGCCGATTTGGCCTAATCTTATTATTTGTGGAAAATAGAAAAAGGCTGCAGATCGAGAAATAACATAAGAAATCGATCGTGCTATTTTTATTGGTGTTTAAAGATAAAAAATGATTTTTGATAAATTGATCATAACTTAATTTCTTTTTATTTCTTTTCTAGTAATTTCTTTGCGAAAAAGAAAAATTTTCTTACGCAAGATAGATATTGTTTAATTAATAAAGGAAGAATTTTCTCATGGCGTGAGAGTTTTTTCATGATTTTGATAATTCAATCCGCTTATGATATCGACGTGACAATTTCCACGTGATCCTAACCATGTAATAATATAAAAAAGGGGCAAATACATCGGATTTTTTATATAAAAGAAAAGTTTGATGCATTTCTGCATAATAAAAGTCGTTCGTGATGTATCTTTACAATCAAAAGTCGAGTCCATCGTTAATCAAAAAAATAAAATTTTCTTATTTTATATATTTTTTTTATATATTTTATGTATATATATATATTTAGCCATTAGGCTATGACTAATTTCTTTTCGTCCGCTCATTGCAAAAACCAATCCCTCAAAATTCTGTAAAATTTCATAGAATATCAACTCCCACCAAATTCGCCTTTAGAATCAAATTATTTTCAAAATCCCAAATCATTTTATTATGCCAAAATTAATTTGGGTAACCTGTATAGTTATAGCCTAAATGAGTTCTTTCATGAATACGAGAAGTGTTCAAAAGAAAATCAAGGAGTCTCTAAAGGTATGTGTTTTTTTCTAGAATGTTAACTCTCAAGAACATCTAGATTATTTTTATCTCAAATAAATTAATATGCTTAATGATCTGATTACTCTCCTCTTTTGACTGAATGGAAAGACCTTCAGAGTACTTCTTGAACTTGGGATTTTTTGGATATTTGGGGAATGAATGATATACTTATTTTGATTTTTTGAGAGAAGAATTGAAAGCTTGAGTTTTGGTAGGTGTATTAACACCCTCTCCGATAGATTTTTTTTTTGATCGGAGATAAATAATTATTGGAAGAAATTTTCAATATATCCGTTTTTTTCATTTTTTTTTTTAATAAAAGTTATTAATTAGATTTATTCATGTTTCAGTAGGAAATGGTACTAGAATTACATGGAGTGGTCAATTTGGTGTTCACACTGTATAAAAATTTATTCATTTATTTCTAAATCAGAATTATTGATTTGGAAATATTGGAAAGATTAGATCATTCTGTTTTTACTTTGTGAATTCTCTTTGTGCAGCGGCGCATACTTCTGTCTGCGTAAAATAATTAAAAAAATAATTAAATTATCATAATATGTCAATGTTGACAAAAATGTAAATGATAAAAAGAATAAAAAGAAGAAAAATCAATCCAAGATGTAAAAAAACTTTTAAAGCTTGTTGATGGAGTAATCATATATAACCTAGTAGAGTGCCTCAATTTTACCCACTTATTTTAAAAAATTTTAAAAATGTTAAAAAGCGACTTGTACTTATTGTGAATTTAATAAAGATAGTATATTTATAACTATTTTCTTGGCAAAATTACAAACTGCTTTTTATCTTTTATTTTGTTGAATTGATAAAATATATTATATTTGTAATACAAAAAAAGAAAAAATAGTTTTATTGTTCAACCTTTATAATAAAATTCTTGGAAATTTCCAATATGATTTTTTGTTTAGTTATCTAAATGAATGACTTTGACATGATTTTTTTATTATTTATTTTTTTATTATTTATTTTTTTATTATTTATTTTTTTATTATTTATTTTTTTATTATTTATTTTTTTTTTTATGATTTTTATTTTTTTATTATTTTTATTTTTTTATTATTTTTATTTTTTTATTATTTTTATTTTTTTATTATTTTTATTTTTTTATTATTTTTATT